CATTCGATTGAGTTTGAATTTTATTAAGAATACTTCATAATAAAAGAAAATCACTATTAGAACAAATAACCAAATGTAAAAAAGTTTTAACAGCTTATTATATAAAATATGATATAAGAGAATAACATTAATTACTTTCGTTTTTTACGTAGATATGTTCAATTATTAAAAATGAATAAAATTGTATTTATTAAACATTGAACATGCAAATATTACAGTAACTTGATTCAGGCAACCCAGATAGATCTTCGTAATATATTATTTCATACTGAAATTTAACTGCTTACTTTCCATCTGTAAACATTTTCTTTCATACTGTTTAATGTCGATGAAATAGTTTGAAGTTTAATATAACTCTCACGTAGTCATTAAACATCTGTAAACGATATAAGCATCTTACTCTAATTATTTAAAATCGAGATATATTAAATTGCTTGCTTGTATGTAATACGTACTCATTCTTTTTCACCTTCAAGTTGATAATGGTAGCGACGCAAAGCAGATAAGCGTAATCTCTCTGTTAACAGAGCCTGCTCTAATTCCAGTACGCGAACTTTAGCCTCCATTTCTAGCCGCTTAGCTTGATGTAGACTTAATCCAGTGAAGTCTAAATCATCTGTAAAATATTGGTGACATTAGTTTCCTACTTTGCATGTCTCCAGTATTTATCAGTATTTGTAAGATGCGGTGGTAAAGAAATAGTTACCATTTTCTTCAACGAGTTGACTACAATTTTTAGCAGTTGCTACTACGCTTCCTGTTGCTTGTGTCACATCCCTCGATGCTTCAGAAAGTGCAGCCAAGTTACTGCTATTTCTATTTGCTTTTACTCTGCTTGCAACTACTAATTGAGCTGTTGACGCAGCAATTCCTTGCGATGCAACTACCAGTTGCTCAAATTTACCATTTCCGGCAACAACCTTATCTGCAACTTCCCTGTACGTACCAGTATATTTCGTAGCTCAAACAATGCGTTGTAATAATACATTGTAATAATACTTACAATAATAGAGTAGCACCCATTGCAACTGCTTTCGCTGCCGATATGAGTCCCTCGGACCATTGATGGTTCCGTTTATAGAATTCTGTCGCAGATGCTGTACCCTAATATTAAAAGCACATTTTTATATTCCATCGATGCATACATAAAATATTGATAGATACAAAATCTGTACCTTTCCTTGTTCTACGATTTCTGCTTGCAATAATCGAGACTTCTGAACTAGCTTCCTAATACATTTCATCAATTCTGTACAAGAATCTAAAATCTTTCCATTTACCGCTAATTTTATTCCTGAATCTGCAGCCCGAGATTTTTCCAACATGTCCTGATTAAACATTGTAAAATATGTTATCGCGTATAAAAATATCTTAATCACTATAATAAATTATAATGTACCCGTATTCTGTCAGTAGCTTCTTCTATTGCTTTATCCATGCTTAACAGCTCCATTTCCACTAAACTACCTATAGCTTCAACATTACCCTGACCATTAGACAGCGTAGCGGCGAGTTCGCATATTTTCTTAAATTGTTGTCTTACTTCGTTGATTTGACCAACAGTTGACGGTGACTTCTCTTTTATGTAATTAAACATAATTAAAGATTGTGCTCCTAATTGTTTACATTCATCAGTCAATTCTAAAACAAGGCATAAGACACCATAAGAAATTTGATATTTTCCAAACTTTCATTAACTTTAAACGTTGACCTAACTTACTATCACCCAATGCGATATCGATAGACGTGTTCGATGTAGATCTTGCATGGATCAAAAAAAGACCCAAAGTATAAGCAACGTGTATCGCACTTTTAATGAGCATTTTTCCTTTCGTTGTGTCGCACACGTAACCAGTATACGTTGAATCCAATCCATCCAACGATTTCACAATCGATTCTTCTAATCGTTCAAGGTACTGAGGTGTGCATGTTAAATCAGACATTGCCGGATTGTCTATAGCACTCAATGAATACCGTATTATATCTTCTGCTTCAGATAGACAATTTACTGAAACAAAAATACACTTTTATTTGTGTAGTGTTCAATCATTTATCTGTCTATTATCAAGGAATAGTTAAGAGCACTTACACAATAATTCATATAACATAGTGTCAGCGTGTAAATTCATTTCATTGCGGCATCGTTCAGCCTCAACTTCTAATTTTTCAATCTTTAAATCTAATTCTTCTTTCTGCGCTAATAGATCATGTAGATCGCCCTCTAAACCCGTTTTTTCAGATGTTATTAAATCATTTTTGGCAATCAACACCTACAATATTACATCTTTACCGGAACGAAATAAAAAGAAAATAGAAACTTAAACTTTGGATCAAAAGAAAGCTATTAACCATGTTTTCAGATTTCGTAGAATTCAGTTGTTGTTTCAGATCATCCAAGTCCTGTTGTGCTTCGACGATTTTTCGTCCTTCTTGTTCATTTATGGCTTGAGCCTGCATTAGCTCGTCGAGTCGACGTTCTGCATCGTTAGTTCGTCGTTCTGATTGTGCTTGCGACACTTTCAGTAATCCAAGTTGTTTATCCACATCCGCTTTCTATTTAATAAAAAGTCATTAATGACTAAAGTTCCCTTGTCCAACAAATCTACTTTGTATTTGAGTTAAAATACTTGCCTTCCTAATTAAACTGATATGTTCTTCCCTCAATTTCGCATACACATCTTTCAACTTTTGAAACTTTTCTTCCAAAGTTTTATATTTTTCTGAAAAAAAAATGATCAATGAACAATGTATCAAATCAATAATGTATCATATAGACATTTAAAAATATAATTTTGAATAAAAATAAGATTCACTAACCTTCACTTTCATGAACTTTTGCCATCATGTCTGCTTTTTGCTTCAAAGAATCTTGATTGATTTGTTTCTCCTGTTCAATCTCATTGCACTAAAAATTTATAGAAAAAAAGATATATTCATAACTTTTATTTAATATTCTATCAACTTTATACCTTGGCAATTAAATTAGACTCAAGCTGCGTCTCTCGATCCTGATGCACTTCTATAATTTGTTGATGTTCGGTTAATATGCGATGCAATTCTTGTCTTTGGCGACTAATTTCTTGATGTAAGTGATCGATAAGGCTTTCTCTAACATACAGACGAATCATTATTTGTTTGTATTTTCCATTGTCGAAACCAGCAAAAATAATTTCAAATAAATTTTGGTTTACCTTTCTGCTAATGTATCGGGAGAAATTGAGCCATTCCGCGTTGAATCCAATTGATCACCAGGTAATGAACTTGTGTCAGAAGTATCGATGAGGCTATCTACAACCGCTTCACTATCCAAAGACTCTTCCGGCAATTCGACTCTCGGTGTAACATATGATCGTAATTCTGATTGTATCAAAAAGTTCGGTGGATTCTGGAATAATCAAGTTGTACGCAATTTAAACTATAACATATCTCTTGTTCTTCATTCTAGTTTACAAATAATTGATTTACCTCTGGTAGCGAGGGTATAGTTATGAGAGCCTTGAAATACTGTCTTTGTTTTACTGTATTATAAAATTTCTTCAGTTCTTGAAACTGTTTCGAGAATCGATCACGATGACCAGCCAGAGTGTCTGCTGGCAAGGTATTATGAAGTTTAAATAAAATTTTCACGCAATAATCGTATAGCTGCGAAGCGTCTAGGACGCATGGTATTAGTGGAGCCAGTCGGCACTGTCCGCTAACGGTCATCGAATTTGATGGTGTGTTCATCAACGAAGTGGTAACTGAAACCCATGATTTCTATTGGTAAATATATGTAAAACCTTCTTAATAAATAACGTGTATTCTTACACAATTGTTTATATCCGTCGAAGTTAGGTAATAGAATTTATTGCGTACCTGCACGTTGTAGATTTAAAATATCATCCATATAATCAAACATTTCAACCGACATCTGGAAACTAAAACAGAAAAAAGTAATACTAAACTAAATGAAATATGTGTAAGACCTATACCTAGAAAACAATGTGAGTAAGTTTTCTATTCTATTGTGTATTCAAAAATCTCCTAATGTTTAGCAAATATAAAACCGCGAGCTTACTAGACATTAATGTCATTTTCTCCAATAGCTTTCAATTCCTCCGGCGTTACTTGAAGATTTCCAGGTATTCGTGGATTTCGTTTGTGAAAGTCCAATTTGGTTATCAACAGTCTTATATACAATTGAATCAACTGGCCGTAACCTTCCCGAAGGTGTTGCCACAATTTTCCAAGATCCTCTAGCTTTCCCCGATATCGTTGCGAGTCTGGAATTACTTTTGGGTGACCCTCGCGCAGTATTTTGTGTAAAACGTGACAAAACTTCCATGCTACTATTTGATTCTCTTGCAAGGGTTGCCTTAACATGTACATCCAAAAGATCATTCCGCTCTTTTCTTGATATGTACCAATAATTGCGCCTATGTTTATGTAAGGTATATGAGGTACAAATGATTTGTCACATACAACAAATAATTAATCATTATTAAATTATAATACATTCTTGAAAGATCTTTACATAGACTGTGCAAGTTTAATGTTACTATCACAATGTTTTTAGAATGTTAATTGATCTCAACAACTAAAGTTACAGTTGATAATGCAGATGTTATAGTAATTTCTTTAAAAGTATGAATTTGTTATTGAAAAGGATACTCCGCACATGTTTCTCCTTCACCGGAGTTTCTGTAGGATTCACGGCCTTCCCAATGCTGATACTCTAAAAAAGAAAAACAATTTTAGTCCATTATAGATATATCAAATCCGAAAATATTACAATTTCTCAAGTTATAATTAATCAAAAGTTTCAGATAATATACTACCCGATTTTCGATATGATTCACTTACCAACTGATGGAGTTGTTTATCGGTGAGTGGGACAACACTCATCATGATAAAGCCGTGTAGAAGCAGCGGTAGAAATCAAAGCACGTGTGAATCTCAATACTGATGGTCAGTCCGTATGAAAAGTCATCGTCCACCAATTCATCATTCGTTTCAAGATACCTTAAATCGGCGTAGCCGACATCGTGACGTTGTTTCGCGTCGTCTGGGAAAAAATATACGTAACTGTTAAGTAATACGTAATTCGCGCAAAGTAAAAATATCTTGACTTGTATATGCAGATTAACATTAGCTGTAAACATTACAGCTAATTAAATAAAAAAACTACACAATTATTTTAGTTATAGTTCATGCGCTTACAATTATTATTTAATAATTAATGTGATCGGTATAATAATTGGAACACATAACAGAGCATTTATCAAATGCAAGATACCAATAGATCTTATCGTTTATTGACTAAGAGAATATAGAGACTGGATAAGGTTGCAAAAGCAAAAATTCCGCAATGTAAAAAAAATTAATGCATTTTACGGCTTGTCTCGCGAAGAGAAAAGTCTTCCGTGTAGACCTGTAATAGCAGGTTAAAGCAACTGCCATAAGTACTTAACTATCTGTTTTAAATTCATTTGCGAAACAATAAATGCATTACCCACGAAAATTATAGTTATCCTCTCGCTTCTGTCGAAAATTAGTGACTTAATCTCGTACCTTTTTATGTATTTTGTGTATTCAATGTATCTACTGCTCAAAGTATTTCGGATACTTAAAACTAAAGAGAATTATAAAAATGGCGCCATTTAAATTTAATTCTTCATAAATTGAAAGAAATCTTTTCAAGATTTAATTACAACTATAGGGGCGCTTTAAAAAAGTAGAGAAACCATTGATTTATTGTTTGCCAATGGACAAAAAGTGAACTAAAAGTATTACAAATCTGTTACAATAAAAAACGATAACCAGAATGGCGTTCTATGAATATTTCTAATAATATTAAAAAAAGAACAGGAAAACACGTGTAATAAAATTCAATTAGAGTAAAGTTCATATAACACATTTCCAAAGATTAATTTAAACTACAAGATTCCCGTAACATTTAATTCCGTATCTCTGAAAGAATTTGTGCGTTAGGTTTGCCAATTCAGCACAAGTTTAAACAAAATTGAAAGCAGTTCAATTTTCGAACGATTAAAATCTAATCTATGCTAATGACAATGAAAAAAATAGTAAACATGATTTTATTATTCGAATTAAAGTTAGGAGTCATAATATAGTAATATGGTAAATATAGGGGTTGTGAAAAGCAAAAAATTGTTTCGTGTAACCACCTCTATGCAAAACGGCGATTTCATATGCACGATCCGAATACTTAATCCCAAGTGTTCGATCTCGGAAGTCCAAATGATGGGTCTTTTATGTTCATTAACCCTCCGAGCGGTGTCACCGTACCGGCGCAGTTAACGATGCGCCAGAAAGAGTGTCGTTTACGTTCATTCAGAAACTATCGCAACGGTTGCATTCGTGCATTTAGATGAATAGACACATGCAGTTCGTTGTGCTACAAATCAAAGACCCGTATACGATCACTGCACTGGTTAAATGGAAACAAACACAACGGCCGGAATAGACAGACACGACCCTCAAAGAATCGCACTCTAATTCCGGTGGCAGTGTTCTACATACCGTTAGCATAAACAAACAAATTTAACGCCTTATTTTAACATAAATGTGGGGGCACCGTGTTCCTATAAGATAACCGTTATCTTCGTTGTTATTTAAACACACCTTTCCAAAGTAATCATTCTCGATAGAGATGTTATAATATTGAATTACAAATAAGTTTATCTTATAAGTGAATGTAAATTTTGTACCTACTTAATTGATAAAACATTAATATGACAAGTTGTCATATTAAGTTGTAGGGCAAATTGGTCATTCTATATAAATTAAAATGTAACATCGAAAGAATATAATGTCATCAAAGAGTGCAATATTTTTGATATTTTAATGCTGTATTTAGAATTCATGTAATTTTGGAATGAATACTACTTTATCATTCTTCCGATAACATATATATCAAAATATCACAGATAATCTCGTGATATGTATATACACGTACGTAGAGTTGGGCATTATTTAAGTAAAAAATTATTTAAATAATAATTCTGATAAAAGATACTTTATCTTCATTCGTTCTTCGAACGTTTAAATGAAAGAAGTGTTCTTATTCAACGAGTGTCGAATAAATAATTTCATTCGACGAGAATTTATCCGATGAATACTACTGGCAACGCATTTATACGAGATGGCAGAAGTTATTCGAAGATTTATTCGAAGCCTTCGAAATCTTATTCGACGCTACGAATAAATGCGCTTCGAATAAAAAAAATATCTTTATTCGTTGCATAAATTCTCGTTGAATGAAATTATTTATTCGATATTCGCGTCGAATGAAATTATTTATTCGTTACTCGTCGAATGAAAATACTTTTTTCATTCGAATCTTCGAATAACGAATAAAATTTCTTTTATCTTTCATTCGTTATTCGAAATTTTTATTTAGATATACATTTTGCCCAACTCTGCCCATACGATGTATATATATAGATCGGCTGCCTTCTAAAAAATAATAATACAGATCTCAGACAGACACAACCGAACTCATGCAAATTAAATCATAATCTTGACCATAGGGACACGATAATTCTACCATGACTTTAATTTATCAGAAGATCGGAATAATAATTGAGATTGCAAAACAAATAGTTAATTTATCCATTAAATTATTCCAAAATATTTAGACAATTAATTGAACAATTTACAACAACGTTGATTGAACTTGTTTGTATAATTTGCACTATTTTCGGCTGAAGTTTTTTAATAAGACGGTCGTAAAAAGATTAATTTGATTTCTTTTCATTTGTTGAAATGCTCCGTTTTGTAATCAAAATATAACTGGAGTCCAAATGGAACAGAAAAATTTGAACGGAATTTGCAGCGGCATTGCGAAACGAGGAAAGTGTAGGAACGCATAAAAATATAGTCCTTTATATAGGTAGCACATTCTGAATCATACTGTTCAAGAACATATCTTTCACTCTATCACATTTTCTAATTCTGTGACATTGTAATAATTTTTCACTATTCTCATTCGCGTAGTAAAGTCAAAGAAACAATGTCACAAAAAATTGTAAATCTTTATTTTACATGTATCTTGTATTCTTGATTTTGAATAAAAAAAATATGTTTATGTTGAAAAAAATAATATCGCTTACTAAAACATAGTTCAATTTTATAATTCACAACGACCATAAACGAGACTATCTGTCACTCTCGGTAAAAATACATTTAGGTGTATAAATGTAGAATGAACAGGGCTTCCTGTTAGCTGATGTCAGATTTTTCTAAGAACTATTATGTATACAACTCGATAATGCGAACAGTATATTCGTTGTTCACTTAATGTGACACGGGCGAAATTATTAATTATGAAAACTGACTATCGAAACTACTATGACTGTTGAGCGCAGTAGAACTGTCATCAATTTTATGTTGTCGATAAATACAATACCATAATAAACACGTTCCCTAACCTATAAACGACATTAGAACGGTATACGAAAGAAAACGAGGTCAAGGATCGCATTTTCATAGAACACGTTTAGTTTTCACAATTTAAAATACCTGTGCATCTGAAAATAGAAACGAATTTATTTTAATACTTTTAGTCAAACGCCGAGGATATAACCTTACGTTCATTTAAAGAGGTATTCGCACGTTAGAGTAATTGTTTCACGAACAGAATGTACAGTTAAAAATTACAAATGATAATACATACCAAAAGTTCTTCCCACAGGCAGTGCATTAAATCCAGGCCGTCTCTAGTTTGTTAGAAAACATGTAATTGCGTTAAACCCATTCCTCCGTCAATGCACAAATTGTTTCTGAAGATTACGTAGCATAGATCCGGCTAACGTAAATGGGAACTTTAAATACACACGAGTATTACATTTCGAATATATCACCAAATTTAGTTTCGAAAAGTGCGGCAAATGACAGACAAATCGTCCGAGACACTTTTCTTTCAGTCAAAAATTCTATTAGCGATGTATCGATGCGCGACGGCACAAATTCAACGATATGATATCAGATACGATGGATAAACGTTAAATGTAACGATAAGGGGAAACGAACAACGATAAGTGGTGTTGACAATAACTAAACTAAAATTCGTAGTTGAATACGAAACAATGTAGTACGTGCTGGTACGTGCTTTCCGTCCACGCGTGTGATGGAATACCGTGAATCGCTTGGAATATAGCAATAGAAGTAAGCGTGCATTCAGTATCAAGCCGCTATTTCGAGCGCTCTTCCAGTGGCGTAGCCGACTTGTGAAACTTGCTGGCGCGTAAACTTCCTTTCAAAGTTATACATTATACATACGTATATGTATCTACTTCTACATTCTCCGCTAACACTTGTTCTACAATTCGTTGTATTCCATGTCTTTTGTTATCTCGTCTGTTTTTCTTCCTTCGTAATGTCATCTTATCACCCCGTCATTTTATGCATTATTTATCGTCTTCCGGTACTACTCATCTCATCCGTCTTTGCCTGTTTGACTTTCGTTAAGATAGAACAATGAACTTTCATTAAATTCGTCGCGAATAACTTTAAAATCCTTAGCAAACTAACAAAATGTTGTTCTTGCGTAAAATTTTCAAGATTTCATAAATGATATATTTTCAAACGGAATTAAATTATACACAGTTCATATTAATATTCCGTGGGAGTTTAAATTTATACTACCTTTTCAATGTTCCAAGGAATGTTCTAGCATGTTTCATATCTGAAATTGGTTATAGATTCAATTGCGACATTTAATGACGAAAGAATTGAAGCTGGTTTAATTATCGCATTTTAATATATTCATAGAGAGTAAAACAGGTTCGCCAAACCATTTGTAATTAAACCGGATGTATTAAGAAAA